AGGAGGAGGCGGAGGAGGAGGCGGAGGAGGAGGAGGCGGAGGAGGAGGAGGAGGAGGAGGAGGAGGGGGGGGGAGGAGGAGCAGGAGCAGGATTCCGCGGGATTCCGCGGGATTCGGATTCTGTGCACATCGGCCTTCGAAGCCCTGCGCGGATGCCCACTGGACATCTCGGTGCCGGGCCCTCCCCTTGGCGGGAGGCCCGGGGGCCGGGCACGCTTCTTCGGAACCCCCGAGTGCACATCAGCCTTCGAAGCCCTGCGCGGATTCCCACTGGACACATCGGTGCCGGGGCCCCTCCTTCCTTGGCGGGAGGCCCCGGGGGCCGGGCCGGAGGGGTGGCCGCGCGGAGCTCCGAGAGTGTGTGTTTGTGTGTGTGTGTGTGTGTGTGTGTGTGTCCGTGCCGCGGGGACGGCCCTCTCGCGAGGGGTGGCCAGACAACGGCATCGACGCGGGGACCGTCGGGCGCGGCGAATGGGGCGGGCGAGACATTCGAACCCAGACCTCGTCGAGTCATGAAAAAATCACGACGGGAGGTTTTTCGCTATTTTCGGCCTCCGGGGGCCCTCACCGGGCCTCGGGAGGGTCAAAAAACGACTCAGGATGCAAAACCGGCCCCGGGGAAAGGGTCGGGACTTCTGGGGGCGCCGTCCTGAAATAATCAGGACGTCGGGGGTCTGGGAAGGAAAAAGAGCCGCACAAACAGAAACTCTTGGCGCTCCGCGCGGATTTCTTGGATCCCTGGCGCGGATCCAAGAAATCCGCGCGGCGCGGTCGGGGGTGGACAGAGCCCCCAACAGTGACACGTCGATGAGTGAATTGTCCGTTCTCGGTTCTCGAGAGGGCGCCGTGGCCGTCGTTTTCCCCAGGCTTGCGCCCGCCAGGCTTGGGTTTTAGGTCGTTTTCACTAAACCACGTTTTGCTAAAGGGAGGTCTGTCCATCCCCGAATGGGGCGGGCGAGGCATTCGAAGGAACAAAGAGCCGCACAAGCAGAAACTCTTGGCGCTCCGCGCGGATTTCTTGGATCCCTGGCGCGGATCCAAGAAATCCGCGCGGCGCGGATCTCTCGGATCCCTGGCGCGGATTCCCTGGGCGCGGATCTCTTGGATCCGCTTGGATCCTTGGCGCGGATTTCTTGGATCCCTGGCGCGCAGCGCGGATCCAAGAAATCCGCGCGGAGCGCCAGAAGTTTACGCTGGTGTGGCCTGTTCTTCTTCTGCACAAGTGGGGGGAGCCCTTGCGTCGGCTCCGCCGTACTTTGGTTGACGTTCCGACTTGGAGTTGTGTCGGAAATGCACCCCAAACAATGCGAAACAGTATGCTGGAAATTCACCACCCACCAAACCACCCCAACCCAACCCGAAGGCCCCAATTTATCCTCGATTTCCAGTTGGGGGGGGTCGTGGAACATCGAGAAAACACATATGGAACCCGTACCCCCCCCAACCCGAAATTCGGGTCTTCGGGTTGGGTTGGGGTGGTCTGGTAGGTAGTCAGAAATGTCCGCCTCAGGAAGAGATAGCGCGGATACATCCGCAGAAGTGTGTGGCGGAAGCAGCGACGGCAAAATATGGGGCGGACATCGGCATCCAAGGAGCTCAACAAGCAGGGCGGAAGTTTCCGCCCTGCCTGCGAAAACCACGAGTGTACGGCGGATCCGAAGTCGGGGAGAGGGGGATGACCACCCACAACACCACCCCAGCCCAACCCGCAGTCCTCAATTTGCCCTCCATTTCCAGTGGGAGGGGTCGGGGAACATTGAAAAAACACATATGGCGCCCATACCCCCCCCAACCCGATATTCGGGTCTTCGGGTTGGCTTGGGGTGGTCTGGTAGGTAGTCAGCGGGGGGAGGGGAAGGAAAGGTGCACCCCTTGTGCCCTGGAAGAAAGGGGCTCCGAACGGGACCCCCGGGCCCCCGGGGGCCCACATTGGGGCACGACGGGCGCACGTCTCCCTCTCCCTCTCTCCCTCTCTCTCTCTCTTTCTGCCCCCCTTCCTTCCCTGAGATCCGGCGCGCTGCAGCAGAGCTGCAGCGCCGCAGAAAACCACGACCGGAGGAGGAGGAGGAGGAGGAGGAGGAGGAGGAGGAGGAGGGAGGATGATGAGGCGGGATAAGGAGGAGAGGAGCGAGGAGGAGGAGGAGGGAGGAGGGAGGAGGAGCCCATGGGCCCCGCCTCTCTCTCTCCTCTGCGCCCTGTTTTTCACGGAAGCTGCTGAGGCCCCGGGGCCGAGCACGCCCGGTGTGACACAGTTGACCGCGGCCGGAGGGAGAGCTCTGAGGAGAGGAGGCGGGAAGGGCGAGGCGGAGAGGCGGAGGCGGGAGGAGGCGGAGGAGGAGGGGAGCGGAGGAGGAGGAGGAGGGGGAGGAGGAGGAGGCGGTGGAAGGAGGAGGCGGCGGAGGCGGAGGAGAGGAGATGAGGAGGAGGAGGAGGAGGAGGAGGAGGAGGTTCTATCGCCCCCCCATTCACAAGCAGCGCCCCCAAAGGATGCTCTCCCTGGCGCGGCAGCTCTCCCGGCAGAGGTCAAGGGAGGAAAAGCCACCCGGACCCGCCCCGCTAGGTTCCTTCTATGGGTGCGTTCGCTAAACGGCTTCCCGTGTCGGGGTGATTCTTATAAGGGTGGATTTTCTAGGGGAGCGAGGAATGACATAGAAATAAACACTCGGAGGTCCGCGCGGATTTCTCGGGTCCGCGCTGGGGCCCCCTGCAGGCGGCGCCTCCGGCGCCGCCCCTGGCGCGCTCCGCGCGCCAGGCAGGGGGGTCCAGCGCGGATCCGAGAAATCCGCGCGGACCTCCGAGTTTTGATGTTGATGTCATCCTTCGTTCCCCTATTGTTAGGTCCGGCCTGTCCCCCTACAGGGGGATTTTGGGTGACAAATGCTTGAAACATAGTCCCAAATTGATGAAAAGCTGTCAAACAATCTTCCCCAGAGTCTCTAATTTTGTCTTTGAGTATTCCTCCTGTAGAGGGACAGGCCCGACTCCGGATCCACCCTACTTTGGGAAAATTCGTAAGTAGGGCTTGGATTTTCCGCCATACTTTTCAAGCCCCGCTGATGCCAATTTCCGCCCTACTTTTCTGCTGCTGTTTCCGCCCTACTTCTGTGGATTTCCGCCCTACTTTATGCTGGGTGCAGAAATATCCGCCCTACTTTTTCGGCCTCTTATAGGAGGATTGCCGACGCAGGTTTACGTTGGAAAACAAAAAGCCAAAGTAGGGCGGATCTGGAGTCAGGGCAGGCCCGACCTAACCCCATCTTCTGCTCTCTGAGAGGGTCCCAAATGGATGAAAAGCTGTCAAACAATCTTCCCCAGAGTATTTAACTTTGTGTTTGACAATCTGCTCCTGTAGAGGGACAGGCCCGACCTAGCCCCAGACATGCGACGTCCTGATTTTTTCAGGACGGCGCCCCTGGAAGTCCAGACCCTTTCCCCGGGGCCGGTTCTTCGTCCCGACTCGTTTTTGGACGGCCCCGAGGCCCGGCGAAGGGCCCCAGGGGCCGAAAATAGCGAGAAACCTCCCGTTCTGATTTTTTTACGACGCCATCCTGTCTGGGGCCCCATCTTTCTTTCAGGAGGAAAAGAAACACACAGACACAATTAATCGTCGATTCTCCAGAAAATATGGGAAAATATGGGAAGTGGGGGGGAAGACAGAAACCCAGAAAATATGGGAAAATATGGTGAACAGTTTTATTTGTGTGTATTTCTTTGTGTGTCCTTGGGCCCCTTCAATCTTCTGCTCCCTAAGAGGGTCCGGCTCGCCGCCCGGCACTCCACCGCGCTCCGGGAGCAGGACCCCGGCGCGCCGCGGGTGGACGCCGCCGCGCACGTGGAGTGCCCCGCGCCCGCGCGCGACGTGCGCGAGGCTCCGAGGGCGGCGACAACGGAGGAGCGAGGAGGAGGAGGAGCGTGTGATCCAACGTGACAGGCGACTCAACGCCAAATTTGCACATCTCCCTCAAGCTAGGAGGAGGCAGATATGATGAGAGAGCGAGAGCGAGGAGCGCGAGGAGGAGGAGGAGGAGGAGGAGGAGGAGGAGGTACCGATACCTCTAGCCTTCCTATTCATGCTGCTCCCCTTTGAGAGGCTTCCTGGGTGGCCCTCGTCGCCCCCGCCGGAGTCGCTTCGGGGCTCGGGCCAGAGCGCGCCCCGGGAGGGGTCCGGGGAGCAGCGGCCTCGGCGCCTCTTTCGCATGCCTAGAGTATGACACCAACACCAATATCGGCACTGTGCCTCCATCGAGGGAAGAAGATGCCGATCTCGGCGATGGTGGTAATCTTCTGGCCTCCAAAGTGGCCGAAGTATTACCACCGACGCCGAAGTCCAGGATCATCTTCCCCCTGTGGAGGCACCCCCCTGTGTTGGTGTTGGTGCCAATTTCCAGGCCTCCAACTCCCGGTTCCCCCAAGCAGGTGGAGCTCACCCGCGCCGACTGCTCGCGGTACGGCCAGCGGCGCGGGGGCATCTTCGTGACGTGGAGCGCGGGGGAGGGAGGGGGTGGTGCGGTCGGGCCGAGGCCCGGTTCGTGGAGGGTACCCTTTTGCAGTGTGCTCTCCGTGCTTGTTGGGGGTTCGTGTGCACATGGGATGTTTGTGTTCCATGCGTGCCGCTCACGTACAAGGCGCTCCTTTGCATGGCCTGCGGCTTGAGGATGGGCAATTTTCCAGGGCGAATTGCCCTTGCAGCATCCTTCATCCTTGGCGACTCTCGCTGGCCAACCCCGCTCGAAAACGCCAACATGGCCTTACAAGGCCACTGCCTGCACCCTTACGTATCCTCACCGCGCATCCTTATTCTGCGACTTGACTGTACCGATGCCGCCACCCTGGCCTCGCTTTCGCCTTTTTGGGCCTCCCGGAGGCCTAGCGTGGCGTGCGAATTAGCTGGCGGCAAAGACGCCCTGCGCCAGATATGGCAGGAAGGCCGGATGGCATGGCGCGCCCGCGCAAAGCGCTTCTGCCTTCAGCCACTATAGCTGTTCTGTCCCCTTCCTCCT